ATGATGCCGTTTGACGCGTGACACGGCCGTTTAAACGTCGCATCGATCATCCGATGTCCTTCGGCCAGACTCGTCCCGACTTCGAGAATAATTTCCATTTTTTCCTTTTCCTTTTCCTTTTTCTTTTTCTGCGACGTGGAGATATCGATTGATCGAGAAGTTCGAAAGATTTCTTCTTTTCTTTTTTTTTTTTCTTTTGCAAGGATTATTTTTGATTCCATTTTTGGATTCGTGAGCTTGAAAGGAACGAAGGATGCATATATTATTTTTTCTTGATTCTAAACTTTTGGTCGATGGTATAAGGTTTTCGCTTCTTAATAATACGAATATCATTTATTAAATCGTATACACCAATACGTTATTCTTACTTTTTCTCGGATTATGATTTATGCGCCGATCGATTATTATTCAATCTTGACGTTTCCAACAATGAAAGAATATTACTCGTCGAATTATAATGTGTTTAATTTCAAGCCGGTCGTTTATATTTGTTCACTCAATCCTTCGATTAATATAAATCGTACATTTAATCATTTATTTTACGATTGTAAATAATCACGCAATGATTTTCGTACCGAGAATAAATCATAATAAATGATAAAAAATGCACGATTTTTATACATCGCTCTACGAAGCATCAATCTACCTATATATTTAACAGATACAACGACAATCTCCAATTGAATCATCCAACAGTTTTCAATCTCGTCACCCTCGCGCAAGCCAACACGTTCGTGTCGGCTACTCGCTAATTCAGTCGACACAATGCCCAGTGAGATCCACGTGGGCCCACCAACCGTGACGTCACATCATTGATAGGCGCCCACATTGAAGGATATTGTGCCAAGAATAGACTATCGATCCACCTTTCGCACCTACTAGTTGCAAAATGGAAACGAAAATCGACGAAAATCGCGGTCTAAAAAAGAAAGGAAAGTCGTTGATCCATCTACTTGTTTATCCTACTACGATTTTCTCTTTCTATAAATAAACGCATAATAAAATTGACGATTCGACGAAGAAATTATATTATATTATAAATAAAAGATCGACGATGGAAAATAAAAAGATCACTGATTCAATAGTGGAATCACGACTCGAGATTGTCTTGCGTGACAAGAAAGAAAGAAAGAAAAGAAAAAAAGGAGCGAAAATTGGCGATCCAACGAAGGTGTGGGAAAGAAAGAAGATCCGCGACGAAAAGGGGAAATTCCCTGGATGGAAGTCCTGGAATCACGGACAAAGATGGGGCGAGGAACAGGAGAGCGTTGGTGGAAGAGGACAGCGCGTATACGAGTAGGGGTGAGTCGAAGAGGGATAGAGAGGGTCGTTGCCGGAGAAAGGAGAGACGCGAAACGTGGCGTCTGCTCGAAGGCGCACGTAGACGCTGCGGCCAGGATTGTGCAAAGGCACGGCTAACTCTCATCTCGGTGATCGTTTCCTGTGCCATTATGCTACCGCTGAAAAGCCGGCTGTATTCCCTTCTTACGTATGCCTGTTTACGCCGCTATTGAAATCGCAAACGGAGAAAGTCGAAGGACGATTATTCCGGCGTGTGGCGTGGATACGCGTACACGTATGTTTGTTTCTTCCTTTGCTGGTAACCGGTATCGAGTGGCTTATTAACTTCGAGAAGCGTTCTTAAACGCGTGGAGCGTATATAAGGCGGTTGAAAGGTAGATTATATGGAAGGGATTTTTATTATTGGCATTTTTCAATATTCTCCAAATGTCTTGTCGAATTGCGATGCTTTGGAAATAGAACGATTTTTCTATTTCATTCGTTTATTCGTTACTCTTGGCCTTAAGTAACTTACTTTTCGCACAAAATTTTGTATTCTACGAAATTTGCTCTATTTTTTTTTCACTACTGGAATTATTTGGAGAATAAGTGATTAATAATTTTATCTAGTGACGAGATTTTAAAAAATAAAAATCCGCGTTTCTTTTATATTTTGTATCGTTATTCAATTATTTATAACGTTTGGCCTTAAGTAACATCGATTGCTTTTTGCATAAAATTTTGCTACGAAATTTGCTCGATTTTTCATTATTAGAATTATTTGGAGAATAAGTGATTAATAATTTTACCATCTAGTAACGAAATTTTAAAACATAAAGGTAAAGATCCGCGTTTCTTTTATATTTTGTATCGTTATTCAATTATTTATAATGTTTGGCCTTAAATAACATCGATTTTCACACAAAATTTTGTATTCTACGATATTTGCTCGATTTTTCACATGAAACTACTTCGAGGTGATAAGCGATTAATAATTTTGCTAGCTTCGTGAATCTAGATCATTGCCTAGAATTTTTCTATACAATAGTAACGAGATTTCAAAATACAAAGATATCCGCGTTCCTTTTCGAGCTCGAATCGCGAGAAATCTCATTTAGAGGCGCCGCCTCTATTAAACGGTGGCCGCTTGTTCTCATTCTCGAAATCGTTGAAAGGCAACCGAGTGAATCTCTTCTCGGGGGAGGAGGGGAGGGAGGGTTGGGAGAGGCGGCAATTTCGCAACAATATACGAGAGGGAGAGGGAGGAGGAGAGGGGCCGTTGGAAAAAGGCTTGCACACGAGGGCATTGTATCGCGACGTCGATCGCAAATTTCTAGCCCCGATTCCTTTGTCGATGCGGGACGCGCGAGAGCTATCGAATCCAAAGGATTTCCGGTCTGTTGCTCCTCTATCGGCGAGCAGTCGTTACGTTAGAATTCCAATTCGGTTCCAGTCGCTTGGCAACGCCTTCAACGCGTTCCTCCTTTTCCTTCCTTTCTCCTCGGCCGAGAAATCTTTCCAAACGTCTTCTCTGCCAACACCCCAATTTCCGATCCCTCTCGACGAAACAACGAAGATCTTCTCGGCGCGGAAGAACGGAGAGGAAGATTTGGCACTTGGCACTCGAAACTTCACGCCTTTTTTCGACCAACTGAGAAGTTTTTTTTTTTTTGAAATATGAATAATGTAAACTTGGACGCTCTTTCGTCGTCTTCCTTTCCAGAAATTCCTCTTCAACGACATGCCTACCTCGAAATTTTCTTTTCTATACAAATTTCCATACGTAAAACTTTCCACTATATAAATCTTCCTAAGAGACGAAGAAGCTACGAATCTTCACGCACGATTCTCTTTCATAGAAATCGTTAGAAATCGGTTTCCAATTACATCTATATATCGCCGATATATATCTTATTGGCGTAATTAAAAACCAAAAAACGTTCAACGGGAGTAGAGAACGAAGGAAGATGCGAGCGACCAGTTGCATCCACCCACGTGACGTGTCACCGGGGCCAGGTCGGGCCGCTGTCGAGCGTATAATTACGAACGGCCGATTTCGATGAGCGAAGAGATGCTCGTAGGATGCTCGAGAGCCAAGCATGACGACGTGTTTCCGCGCCCAAGAGGTATACACATCGGTCAGAGCGTATACGTCAAGGGTCCTCCAACAAGGGAACCTAACGGACCGAATCGAGCTCTGCTTTCTTTGCGCTCGCGCTTATGTACGCGTGCATACGTATATATATGTATATATATATATCGAGAGATTATATAGACGTTTGCACGCACACACGCGTGGAGACGGTCCAGTAGTGGATTATTTGAAGAGCACTAGCGTGTTTGTATATTTCATAACTCGCTCGCTCGAGGCTGTAAGAGGGACCCGTTGCGGGGTCCGTTTCTTCGAGGGGCGACAAAGGGTAGGTCCGATGGTGTTCCCCCTCCCTCTTCTCGAGGGGCATAAACAGAGACCCTTAAATTGCTTCCTTTCCGTGAAGCATTTTTTCCTCTCCTCTCTTTTTTCTGTCTTCCTCTTTTTTTTTCTCTCTCTCTCCCCTCCCCTCTTCTTTTCGCTCTCGGCGACTAGAACGGTTCACGGGTGTGTGTACGCTTCTTCGAGCATTTAGCGCTGCCCGAGCTAATTCAATTATGGGGCCATGGGCGCGCAATAAAAAAATATATGGAAAGTAAATACACGTGCACGCCGACACGGGATTTTTTTTCGAGGGTAAGCGTTAAGCGTTGGAGCGTTAACGCCGTATGCCGTTGGTATTTTTTTTCTTTTTTTCTTTCTTTTCGAGCAGGGAATCTGAGGAGAAATCAAAACGAGTATCAAAACCGAGCGAGCTTGTTTCCGATTCATGAAAAGGAGAAGAGAATGTATTTGTATTAGAATTTCTACGTCTCGTTTCCTTATTGGAATAATAATTAAATTTCTTTAGATGGATCCGACTATAAATGGAACTTTCAACTCAGCTGAAAAATGTATGGTAAGGATTTTAATTTATGTAATTCTATGATATACTGGTATTGTAATAATTATAAAATCATTTCGTCTGCCTTGAAAAACGGTAAAACTTGATTTTCATTACGTCTGCCGATAATTGCGCATCTCCTCGATGATTGAATACGGTGTAATATATGCACGTGTATAATCGTTTCCGAGCGAGACAATCTCGAAACATTGATTATGCCTCTTGAGAATTTTATTTGTACCCGGTGAAAAATTCTTTTCACGAAGGAAGGATCAATAGAAGGCTTGTCGCGTCTCGAAGCGGTTGAAATGATCCTTGTTGATCACGAAGGAGAGAAATTTTACACGATAATTCGCGTATTTGAACCGTATGGATTATAATCGGGTGAATCACAATTTCGAGTATTTTTCTTTTTTTACTTTTAACCATTCGAAGGTTTCACGAACGCGAGAGTTTCGTTCCTTTGCTCGAGAAAATATCATTTACGCCATTTATGATAATTCGAGACTGGGAGCTTTGTTTGTTCGAAACGTAACGAAAGAGATAAATATTTTCTCGTTCGAATCGCGAGTGGAGAAGAATTTTTTCCCTCTTTCGTTTCTTTCCTTTTTCTCCCCACACCGATCCAATCCAAACTATTTTATTCGCGCTCAACGATTCGAATATATTACAATTTTAGACAATATTGTACAAAAGACACGTAATAAGATAAAATTGGAAAAAAGGAAAAGAAGATCCACTCACCGTCCATCGGAAGGTGAAGTGCAGTTGTAGGGTGACCGGTTCGCTGAGGGTGAAGGTGTTTTGGCCGAGGGCGTGACTAGATACGTTGCCAAAGCTACACGAGCCTATGGCTGTGACATTCGACTGGTATTCCTTCAAGCAGAGCCAGAAGGCCGTCGAGCACGGTGTCGTGCACGGTGGTAATTCTCCTTTTCCTCCGCCATCGCCTCCCCCGCCGCAACACCTACCGTCCACCAGGGTGCCCCTGTTGTTCGTCAGCGAGAGGATTTGCACCTCGAAGAATCCGCTCGCGTTTGTCGCCTGTTCCAATGATAAAAGATTAAAAATTATTACCATCATTATCCTCTCCACTTTTAAAATATTATCGTTGCATAATATCGAAAAATACTTGAGAGTGTCACGATATTGCATCCTGAAAAAAACAGTAGTAGTAGCAATTTAATTTCATCGACGAGATTCAGATTTTCTCGTAGCTTGATATTTCGATATACCGTGTTGAATCCTATCGTGTTTGTAACTCCAACATTTTTTCGAACGGATTTATTACGGGCTCGTTACGCGGAGAAAACGATCCGCATTGAACGGAGCACGATGTTTCGTTCGTTTCTAATGGGCATAATAAAACAGCGGGATTTTCCAGGTTGGGTCTCTGGCGAAAACGGAAGTCTCCGCGGCCCCAGGAGGCGAAAGGCCCCTCGAGTGTCTATTACGAGGCAGCTTCGATACGATGGAAAAAGTCGTGCGTACGGTTTCGAAACACCGTTTCGTGCTCCGCCATTTTCTTCTCAAAGTACCTTTTACTCGATGACTTTATTTATCACCTCATCGATTCTCGACAAAAAATACGACTGTTCAAAATCGTTTCAGAGAATTTTTACCTCCGTTTTCAATTTTCTTTTTGCTATAAATAAAATGAGCTCGATAAATCGACACGGAGGATTTCTCTCGAAAATTCTCCAATTCAACGAGTACACAATCTATTCCGCGCGAAATTCACCTATCTACTTTCCCATTCACGGTCAAAATTGCGGCGATGGGATCGCGCAATCGCTCGCTTCGATGCCGCAACCAACGCGCGAATTTTACATCGCCTCTCGCTTTTCGCCCATCGTGTATTATACACGGATTAACAATATAAAAGCGGCACGAAATCGTCCCGTTTCGAACGCGGAGAGTCTTCCTTTCGTTGTTCGAGGCTTACGAAATCCCTCCTCTCCACGTATCTCTCACCTACACCTATCGGTTTCGAATGCACGCTTCTGAATCGGGCACGTGCATTCTACATGGTGTGTGTACATATATACGTGTATACATGTGTGTATACGGGGCACGTACGTGTAGCGCGCGGTCATAAGCGTGTGCATCAAGCGAGTGAAGGATCGTGCACGGCCCCCGGGGGCCTGTGTAATTACCGTAAGAGTAAGATCGAAGGTAGAAAGCGCGGAGGATCGTCTGCTGGCCTTTGCTTTCCACAAACCGCTTCCTACTATGTTATATAACGTTCCTCTCTTCGAGTGACATTTTGCCTGGGATCCGAGCTTCTGCGGTTTCGCGGGCGAAGGAGGTGAGGGCCTGGGAGGATGAATCTCGGGGAAATTGAGGAGTGAATTGAGGAGAATAATGTCCGGCTGCCGCGTGCAGGAAATCATGGAGCTGTCGGGGAACCAAGGGGGGACACACACAGCACGAGAATCTTTGTTAAAACGAAACTGATTTCTTGCATTTCTTATGCGTAGGAATAAATTTTAGGAATTTTCTAGAACAGAACATGATGACGATTTATAAATTGGATAATAATTATATCAATAATAATTATTGTGAAAGAGGATTTGTATTTCGTTAAAACGAAATTGATTTCTTGCATCTTTTATATATAGGAATAAATTTTAGGAATTTTCTAGAATAGAACATGACAATTTATAAATTGGATAATAATTATACTAATAATAATTATTGTGAAAGAGGATTTGTGTTTCGTTAAAACGAAACTGATTTCTTACATAGGAATAAATTTTCAGAATTTTCCGGAACAGAACATGATGACGATTTATAAATTATAACATCAATAATAATTATTGTCGTGAAAGAGAATTTGTGTTTCATCGATACACCCTATGTATACACTCGTACTACTTTATTATATTCACTTATGTTATATACGCAATAAAAATAGAAGTTTCACTTTTCGAAGCGGTTAATCGGTAACTTTCAAAATAGAAATAACCCAGAGGCAGTAGTTCGGCTATCTTGAAAATTCAATCAGATATAATTCATTCCCCTACTCTCCAAGAAAGAAAAATTTCCCCAAAGTATATCATTCCGTTCCGTCCATTTTCTATTTCCTTTTTTCCCCTCCCCGTATACTTAAAATTCTCACGCATTTCTCGTCTCATCGCAAGAAACATTCTTATTTTTTTTTTTTTTTTCCAACATATAACAATTTAACACACACGCTTCGTACACGCCTCGTATCTCGTATTTTCCCAAGTTAAATAAAATCCAATAATACTTAGCAACATTTGCCAATATCTCTTTCTCCGAGAGAAGTACACGCGATTTGCACGTGTTATCCGTGACTAACTACGTTATATTCGCATCGCAGCATAAATCACACAATTGTGAACATTCTCCACTCTCCATGCTTTTATACAACCGTATACAACCGTCATAGTTGAATTTTCTTCTAAAACAATCGTGACTAACTCGCGCCGTGGCCACGCTCTGGACACCTTCTCCCCAACTTGTACACAAGCTTCTTTTTAAATAGAAGAAGAAGAAGAAGAAGAAGAAGAAGAAGAAAGAAACCTTCCAAGCTAAAAACCGATAATTCTCCCTCCGGCAATATATCCTCCAGAGTCTTTCTCTCTCTCTCCCCCATCCCCCCGAGGGGAGAATATATCAATCGAGCGTGCAAACGCGGAGCGTGTCGCGCGGCCGTAAAACGAGCAGCGTGCGTTTTCTTTCGCCGG